AGCTTAGCCAACAAGACAAACAGGCCCAACAAGTTACAAAGGGGGACATGTAGCTGAGGGTAGGGGGTGGCAGGGCCAGCATGACTTGAGGAGACAGAAGCTGCCTGAAATAGTCTTTTAAGAGTCTTTCATTATCACAAGTGTTAGTTTTACATCTGTCAAAGGACGACATGTTCATGATACAAGCAGTTGTGTCTGTATCACTTCGCAGATCGTGGTGCGAAGGGAAACATTAAGGGCCCCTTGTTCAAATACTACCAAGAATTTCAAGACAGCCGCAGAGCATTTAAGCAAGCATAAGACCTTTGGAAGTGTGGGTGATGTGTGCGAGCAAAGAGGCCTGAGAAACTGGGCCCGCACTCACAGCTGTGACTGTGAGAAATCAGAGGCTGTATCGCTTCCAGTTTCAAAGAAACACTTCACTGTTTACTGCAGAATACATGTAGAAAAAAAGCAGTAAGTGATACAATGGTAAGGCGAATCCGCTAGAATGTAATTTACACTTTTCCCTTTCAACTTGCTTCCAAAGCTAAATCAGCAGATATAGATCTGAAGTCATTACACTTAGGATATAAAAAAAAAGGCAGAGAAGTCATTAAATTTGATAGTACTAATAAAACTACAAGAAAAAAAAGAGAAAGAAATCATCTGACTTCCCATTAGAAGGCAGACATCTTTTTTTTTTTTTTTAATTTCCCTCATAGCGCTGTAAAAGTTTTTTGGTTTGTGTTTCTAAACAGACAGTTAATATATAAATCTATTTTGGTTCCACCCCACTGACATAAAAAATAAAGCTTAAAGAACATTCTGCATGAATGATAACACTGAGACGGGAATCCTTCTAGCTTCTCACAGCAATAAAGCAGTCTTCTTGCCTGTACTCATTGAAGATATATTCACACATGACTGCCTCCTTCCATCCAGCAAATACATGCTGTACCTTCCTTTAAAAGCAAATGCTATCATCCAGCAGGCAAACAACTATATATGGTACTTTTAATTATCAGGCACTGTATTAGGCATGGGCCAGGTATGGGGAAAGGGAAATATGCAACATCTCTTGCTCTATTGCACACTCTGACACATTTGAGAATGCTCTTCAGTGATTTCTTCCTTATTGCAAGGTCTCTCAGCTCACAGAGCTTCTTGTTCTGTACAGCCTTTCATGCTTCTCTAATACAAGAGGATCCGTCTAGGCTTCCGTGTCTCTACTGGAGGGTTTTGACATCTTCCCTAGTTACTTGTGGTGAAGGATGTCCCAGATTCTAGACAACGAGCTCCACAAAAGCAAGAATCATCTAATGAACGCATGCATGCTCAGTACCTAGCAAAGCAGGTGGCAGACATCTCAAGGAAAAGGTGGTCTGCCAGTCAGGGAAACCATCTCTGGGCTAAGTGCATTGGAGAAGCAGTTCATGTGGATGGAGTTGGCTGGTGTAAACTATTCCTCACCTATCTCGCCTTGCTGTCTACTCTTTGTTTCAACCTCAAGGAGTGATGGCTAGCAGATGAGGCTCCCTCAAACTCCTTGAAATAGGGAGTTCCTGTGGCTCTTCAGAGGGAGGTGCAGCTGTACAGATCCATCTTAGTGGACAAGACCAGGAACTGACAAGCAAATGAGGAGAGGCTGGGAGGCCTAGTGAGCCCGTGCCTCACTAGCAGAAGTGCCGCTCCATGACTGCTCAGCCAGCTGTAGGCAGCTAAGAAAGAAGTCAATACAAGAGGCAAAGGCTGGGAGGGAACTTGGCAATCCATTGCTGAGAAATACGCAAAAAGACTAATGTTCCACAATACGAAACCTCCTAACACAGCAAGATCTCAAAATGACAGGTTTTCGGGTAGTCTTAGATGACTTTAACAGGAGAAAAAGCCCTGGACTCACCCCTACCACACTCCCACACACACTCACAGAGAAAGGGGCCTTCACACACAAATATGCACAACCGAAATTTAATGGTCAAGTGGTTTTTTCTTCACGGCAGTATTACAATTTATTTTAATAAGTAAATTTTGTAATTTATCTTGGCAATTCAGTGAAGACCCAAGTGTCCTGACTTTTATATAATCAGGCTTGAATATAAAATTAAATTGGGTTAAGCAAAGGACAGTATTGCCCAGAGGGAAAGGACACACATTATAGAGAAAAAAAATCATACCTGAATCATGCAATTTAATTATTCTTGCTGATTTGCTTTTTTAAAGTCAAAGAATCAAAATAACATTTCTGACCCTTTCCAACCCTTCTCCACCTCGGCCTGTACGCTCCCACAATGCTCCATGACCCTGCTTTCATTTCTCATGGCACTTATTACCATAGATATATTATGTGTTTACTTATTGCCTGTCTGTCTTTTTCCCTTGGTGTTATTCTTATTATCTTTAATATGATAATAATCTTTTAGCTGTGCAAAGGAGCTGCTATTTAATAAAGCAGTTTGGGAGTATAGTATCTGGATCACTGTCACCCCTTTTTCTCAACCATCCCTTTCCTACTCACCCCTTCCTTCACTCTTCTTACATTTGTTGGATATACATTGGATTCTTATCTGAATTTTCCCTGTCTTCTCTTCATTCACCTACCCCTTTCTCCTTGATCTTACCCATCCCTAACCAGTAACCACCTCCTGGTGCCTTTTACTACTCAGACTCTGGCAAGAACTCGGTTTATTTATTTATTTTTTGGTGTTGGTGATGAACGCAGAGCCTCAGACATGCTAAGCAAGCACTCCACCACTGTTTAACCATACCTCCAACCCCAGTGTAGACTCACTGGTGACTAGAATAATACCTAGTATACGTTAGTCACTAACAAATAAATGAACTGGCATTCTCTGCAGCATCAGTAGTTTTACCTTTATTAAAGGGTTGAAGGACAACAGTGGCATACAAGGCTCTAGGACAAACTGAAATAAAACTTAAATCCATGAATCCTCACTGGGACCGGGGGATACAAGACAGCCATGACTGAGTGCGAAGGTTGGTGTGCCTTCCCAAAATAAGGCCAAGGTTGCCAGGAGAACATAATTTCATGCCTCAAGGTTTGGGTTTTAATCAAAGCTTGTTACAGGTGCTCCGAAGCAGCTTTTATTCTGTATAGAACACTGCCATTAGAAGAGCTTTGTATGATTGTATTTCCTCACTAATACCAAAACCCACAAATGGGAATGTGAATAATTAATAGAAACAAAACTTGAGTGTCATAAATCGGGAACTTAGTCCTTCATTATTTTATATACCACCCACACAGAGACAATATCTCCCTTTTTCTTATTTTCAGAGACATTTATTATGCTCTCTTTTCAAGTAGAAAGATATAACTTAACTTGCAATTTCTAATTGTGTAGTTATAGGGTTCAGCATAAAACAAATTTAAGGAGGGTTGTATCATTCCTTATTAGAGCAATTTATTAAACAGATGAGATCTTCCTTTAGGGAAAACATGTGTTACTGTTTGCCACTTTTCAAATTGGAACAGAATTATAGTACTACACTGAAATGTATAGATTTACAATGCGAATTTATACTGCATTCAGACAGTAAGTAATACAATAAAAGAAAATAATATGCAATATATTCGGGAAAAAGTATAAAGGAATCTCATAAATTAATAGGAAATTTGTAAGAACACAACGATTGAAGAATTTGTCTTTTGATACCATTTCAACATCTGTTCGCCAAAGCATAAATATGAAGAGAGACTAGAATAACAATGTGAGTTAAAGAAAAATAAGACATAAAATTATCTTAAGTGCTACTGTCTTCATTTGCTATAAAACTTAAATCTACCCTTATTTTTTGTTGTTGTTGTTTTTGTTGGTCATGGGACTTGAACTCTGGACTTGGGCACTGTCTCTCAGCTCTTTAGCTCAAGGTTAGAGCTCTACCACTTGAGCCACAGCATCACTTCCAGTTTTCTGAGTCGTTTATTGGAAATAAGAGTCTCACAGATTTTCCTGCCCAGGCTGGCTTTGAACTGTGATCCTCAGATCTCAGCCTCCTGAGTAGCTAGGATTACAGGTGTGAGCCACTGGCACTCAGCTATTCTTATTTTTTAATCACAAGTTTTTATTTTTCTAACATTCATTTAATATAGACATGATGGTACTTTGTAGATTTTTGTACTTTGGGAGTGTTTTTGAGGAGTCTATTTTTGGTTTTGTTTTTTAATGATTCAGGGGACAAAACCCAGTTTCTCCAGCATGCTAGGCAAGGTTAGTTACATCCCAGGCTTATTTTGTAATTCAAAGTCGTTAGTTTGTAATATTTAAAATATATTTTGATATCAATCCTTTATTAAGATATGTCATTTGTAAATATTTTCTCCCATTCTTAACTTGTAAATCTTTAAGTCTCTAAGACTTCTGAAGTTAAGATTAAACTAAGTTATACTCTAAATTTTCCCAATACAATGTTAAATTTCCAAAATCTATAAGAAAGTTAGATAAATTTCATGACGTGCTAAAAGCAATATTCTCCCTCAGATACTTATATTATTTGACAAATTTTAGTGAAATGTGAAGAAACATCATAATATGAAAAAAAAGAAGCAATAAGTGAAATTTTAAGTAAATGCCCAAGTAAATGCCTGTTTCAGGTGCTGATGGCTCACAGCTGTAATCTCAACTACTGAGGAGGCTGAGATCTGAGGACTGTGGTTTGAAGCTAGCCTGGGCAGGAAATCCGGGGAGACTCTTTTATCTCCAATTCACCACCAAAATCTGGAAGTAGAGATGTGCCTCAAGTGGTAGAATGTTAGCTTTGAGCACAAAAGCTCAGTTACAGTGCCTAGGCCCAGAGTTCAAGCCCCAGGACCAGCACAAAAACAAATAAATGAATCAATCAATCAATGAATAAAATAAATGCCTAAATACTGACAGCTTATAGAGGGAGAAGGGAAGACTGCCATTGTGCTATGATCAGCCTAACTTTGGTACTTATCTAGAATTTTATTAGAAATAGTTACCAAAACTAAGGAACCGCACCAGAGATGGTCCACTTACTTTGCAATGGTCATACTGGAGCTGTAAGGCTGGAACATCCCCTCCAATAGGCATCTGTTTCTTAAGCTCTTCGTCTTTCATATTCAGCCATTTGATCAGTTCTTCTAACGACACCAGGAGCCTGTTCCATTTCTCTGCACTAGCCTCCAAATGGGCCCTGTTGAGAAAGAATGAAGATCACATTAAGAGATCTGAACCGATGATGAACCTACCTGAGATGAACCTAACCTTGTTACACAACAGTTTCCAAGGGGAATGAAAGAGACGAGGGAAGAAGATGACTCTCTCTGGGGCAAGCCTCACAGAAAACCGCTATTGACCTTACTTCCTCTGCGCTCATTCACAACCTCCCACCTGTCCTGCCGGTCGCCATCTCCATCAATCTGTGCCTCAGCTGAGTAACACCAAACCAATCAACTGTCTCACATAGGTCACGATTTCTTTTTGTGCACATCTAATCTACTTGAGCCTTTCTCTGAAAACCAGAAGCTCTTCTGTATTTAATTCAAACAAATATCCTCACAACCATTGTATCAGAGCTCCCAGACAACAGATATTCAACAGCCTTGGAAGTCTTTGTTACTTTGTAACAAAGTTCATATCCTCAGAAGAGCAAACGGAAATGTCTCATCTCCCCTTCATCTCTAGTTAGATCCTGTATTCACACAGTTATATGTAAAAGGTGAATTAAGATTGCAGTAGATTCCAAGTGGACGATATAAAATCAACTCTTCGTATTCTATATCATATTTATAAAGGCCAGATAAATAATTCACAATTACAAAATGAAGTTCAAAGCATTTTATAGTTCTCTGAGTTGTATAATTAGAAACACTCATTACCTTACTCATGTAACTGTAACCTCTCTGTACAGTATTTTCAGAATAAAAAACCTACTAAAAAATAAAAAAAAGAAACCTACTTTCTTGCATCTTCTATTGCTTCTGCTTGCTCCATGGTACTATGACTAGCCTTACTTTGCAAAAGTATGCTTTCACAAGGTCCTGACTCTGCTTGAGCTCCAGTTTTTCTTTCATCCTGTTAATTAATTTTAGGCCAAATATGTAATTAGCTTTCTCTGATAAACAATAATTTTACTTGTCACAGAGCATGGCTAAGTAATTTCCATTATTTTAATTGAAAACTCTGCACTTACAAGCCATTATCCAACAAATACCTTTAACAAAGCTTGTGCCATTTTCTTCCCATATTTTTCAATACAAAAGACAACTAGAATCAAAGGTCGTTGGTCAGCCAGGGAAGACTTAAATGTCTGTGTGCGAATCACTTATGAACCTAGCCTCACATCTTATTTAAATTTGCTACTGTGTCTTCAGCATTTGTAGCTTCATTCCTTAATATCTGAGATGCAAATTAGTTTCCTTTGAATTTCAGGTGCACAAACTTATCGAAGAGCACACAACTATCTTTCCCAATACAGTTAACACTTGAGTGCACAGGAATAATAAAGCTGATCATTGAGCCCTATGGCTTTAGTTCCCAAAGGACTACCTACAAAGATGAAGGAAATACTTTTTACAAGAGATGCTGACGTGGCTTTGAAATAACAAAGAAAAACACCGATGTGTGTGTGTTTCTCCTGCATCATTGCTTTCCCATAGTAAAAATTAAGTTCATCTGGCAGAATCTTTGGCAAATCTGTTCTGGTTATTCTCCAACAGATTACACCTCTGTGTTTAGTGGATTACTACCATATGCTCAACTAAATGCATGCTTCCGTGGGTAGCCTTCAGTCTTCCAGCTTCTTATGAATTCTTTCATCTTTCAAGATGAAAGCTTTTTCGTGGGCAGTGAGTTGAAGGCTTTGTAAGAAGAAACTTTACATTTGTGTTTGGCTTAGCTGAACTCCATCAATGTTATTATAAACATGTTGAAGCTTAAATCTCCTCAAGACCACAGACAACAGGCCATCCATCAGGTTTTCCAAATCCTTGCTTAAAACATTACTTTATCTAAGACATCACATTTATTTATAGCTGCTCAGGTTTTTTCTTTTTCTGTCTTTTTCCACAGTTGACTTTATCCTGATTTCTTAGCTGTTCCAGTTCATTCTTTAGATGCTTGATGTCTAAAAAATAATAGATCCATTCACTGGCTACATTATCCTCCTAAAACAGAATATAAAATATGAATATGCTTCCCATAACGTACCCCCTTTCAAGAAGGAATTCATTTTTACAACTAAGTTCCACACTTCTTAAGTGATTCATATTTAAAGTGCAAAAAAATTGTTACAAGATAAAGATCCATAAAAGTGATACTTCATTCAAATATAGTACCAATTAGAATGGCGGAGGGAACTACTGAGTAATTTATGTTATAAATCACCCCAAGCCCCTATCCTTTAAAGAAACCATCTCCAAAGAGTATAACAAACAACTCAAATTCAGAGGCAGCAAAGAGATGTTAGCTCTTCTTGTGTAAGGATAACACAGAAATAAGCTTGACTTTCTGATTACAAAATATAAGTACTTTTTAATTTCTGGTAAAACTCACAGATTATAAATTAGGTCATAATAAAAAAAAAGATCTTCATTAATCCAAGAGTAAAGGTGATATTAAAAGAAGACCATTCCTCCTTCCCAAGACAAGAATTAAGACCTACCAAGAAAAAAAGAGTCAAGTCTTTAGAATCCAGCCTGAATGTGCTGAACAAACACTAAAGCTATGTTCTGGGTATAGTAGCCACTAGACACATGCGACTATTTAAATCTAAATTTAGGCTCATTAAAGTGAATAAGATTGGCTACCCAGTTCATCCATTGCAATAGGCACATTTTAAGTACTCAATATGCCACACATGGCTGGTTGGTACTCTACTGATCAGAGCAGATAGAGAATGCTTCTATTACTGCAAAACTTTTTGTTGGGAAGGGCTACATCAGAGGAAATAGAATAAGAAAAGTTTCTCACATCTTTTTGAGTTTTATAATATAGTTAACAAAATTAACTATTTAAGGCTAAAAGAGATTACAATCACACTTTAAAATGTGGTATCCTTAAATGCACATAATGATGTTAATGGTTAATTTAAAAAGATGGCGTGCATTTTTAAGAGGTTCATCAAAGAAAAGGAAGAGAGAATGTTTCTTGTTTTTGTTTTGTTGTTGTTGTTGTTGTTGTTTATGCCAGCCCTGGGGCTTGAACTCAGGGTCTGGGCACTGTCTCTGAGCCAATTTGTGCTCAAGGCTAGCACTCTACCACTTGAGCCGCAGTGCCACTTCCAGCTTTTTTCTTAGTAGTTTCTTGGAGGTAAGAGTCTCATGGAATTTTCTGCCCAGGCTGGCTTCAAACCATGAGCCTCAGATCTTAGCTTCCTAAGTAGCTAGGATTACATGCATGAGCTACCAGCATCTAGCAAATTTTATCTTTGAGCTCTATTTTCATTAGATTTGACAACTTCCCTGAACTTGAAAACCATATTTTAATAAGAATCTGTATTAAAAGATCATTAAAGCTTATAGGTGAGAGCTGGGAAAGTGGCTCAGTGGTAGAGCGCTTGCCTTGCATGCCAGAGGCCCTGGGTTCGATTCCTCAGCACCACATAAGCAAAAAGAAAAAAGCCAGAAGTGGTGCTGTGGCTCAAGTGGTAGAGCGCTAGCCTTGAGCTGAAGAGCTGAGGGACAGCGCCCAGGTCCAGAGTTCAGGCCCCACAGCCGGACCCCCCCCCCAAAAAAAGCTTATAGGTGAATATTCAATTAACATTATCTTACATTCAGTAAATTTAACATAAACATTTAAGCATTAAACATAAGCATTAAAACATTAGCATATTTTCAATTCACATTTTCCCAGTGAATATAAAGTATTGTCAGTGTCTGATAATATTAATCTAGTTGAAACTTAGAAGTGTCTTCTTGTACTGATGTAAGTGAAATATACATCAGAATGTATTGTTTATTAGACTGCTAGAATATTTGGCACATTGAATTTCAATGCTTAAAATATTCCAGGGTCAGCTAAAAACACTACAAAGTAGTATTTTAGATTCCAGACAAGGTTGTTACATTGTTGCAATGACCATATGGTGAGCAAAGTAGGTACTGCCTATCAATCTTTTATAAAAGACATGGTATATAAATATTCAATGATCATCGGCAGATATCCTCTTTCCTGAAAAACTGAAGATAAATTAGGGAGAATATTCTCTGCCCATGGTAACAGCAACTTTAGCACAATTAAAACACAATCGGAAACACAAAACCTGTTAGGTGTTATATTCTCTAAGGAGCAGAATGAATGGTCTCATCCTCAAAAAACAACAAAGCCAGGATATCTGCACCCAGGGAAGTTTGGAAGCATGGAGCCTCCATAGGTTTCCTGGCCTTGCCTCAAATCTCTCTCTCCACTTTATTATTTTTTTCTAGAGAAACTCCTTTCCCTGTCATAACACCAAGTAAATGCTATTTCTGGCCAGACTGAGTATCTTGACTTCCAAACCTCCTGGCTTGGGTAACAGTCCCCTCCCTTAAGTTGTACCTCCATCCCTCTAGGGACTCTCTATACATCTTCTGAGGCTCCACTCAGGAAACCACCTCTTTTAGAAAGCCTTTGAGTATCAAAAGGACTAAGATTTACCACTCTCTCCTTTAGACTCTACCTCAACCTAATCCAGAACTGGGAGCCTCTCGGGACAAAGACCTTATCTTCTTTAGGATTAGCGGTGCCTTAATATAGAAGTAAGTTGTATTTAAGTGCTAAAGTGCCCAAATGTCCTGAATTGGGCTTTCAAGATAAATATTATTTTCATTCACTATCATATTGATTCATTACCACATTTTACTGGAACAGAAAATCTATCTTAATGATGAAGAAGTCCTCTGACTTCTAAAATTGCATTCTCCATCTTCAAAAAAATAACAAGCCCAACTGTACTTTCATGAGTTCCTTCTTGTCAGGATAGAAAAAAATATGACTAAATAGATGCAGTCAATAACTCCCCCCTCAAAAGATGAAAGATCCTCTGAGCCAACCTTGTGTATTAAAAAACCAAACTAGATCCTACACTGGGCAGTCTCTACCTGGACTAAGACTATCAAGTCATTTCATCTGGTCCTTACAACAGTTATGAAGGAATGAATATTTTATATTATGATATGTAAGGCTCAGAGTGCCTAAACAATTTGCCTAACTTTAGAAAATACATAATAGAGCCAAACAATGAAGCTCAAGATCATTTGGCTTTCAAGTTCTATATGTTTCAATGTAAGATACAAAGAACTTCTTTCCAACATGCCTCTTTTAAATTTTCACTGGACATCATGTTCTTCAGTCAGTATCCCCTAAATTTATCCCCAATTAGGGACTGTCTGCCATCTATTAAATATAATCATAAAATATGCTTGATACCCCCCCACCTGCCACACACACTCAATAGCACTAATCATTCTGTCACTCTGAATAATTTGCCAAGGTCTTTTCCTAAGGTTCATGCTATTTAATATTATTCTCTCCAAATGCAGAACCATCAACTTCCCATTTTAGTGTCCATAAGAGATATTTCATCCCATTGAATCCATCTTCCAAATGGACATAAAAACAACAACAAATTTTAAAAATCCAATGAAGTCAAGAAACTTCAATAGCAAGAGTCAAAAGAATCTAGATTTAAATTCGAACATAATCCTGTGTTACTTAACAATAGGAATACATTCTAAGAAACACACCATAGGTCACTTTTGTCAGTACGCTAACATCACTGAGTGGACTTAGGCAAACTGAGATGGCTGCAACCCACAGGGCAATATAATTTTATGGGACCACCCACCGTATGTGCAATTGGCCATTGATGGAAATAACGCTGTGCAACACCCTGACTGCATCCAATAAAGTAAGGCTTGTAAAGGTCCAAATATAGTATGTAGCAAAGGTAAATACTCAGTAAAGAGCAGGTGTTAGTGATATTACTGCTATTAGCATTATGAGGTGTACAATATGATATGAACATGTGGGAACAGTCAGGTACAAGGGGCAGAGAGCACTGGACATAATGGTGCTAGAACAATAACTTCCAAGAAAACAGTCTTTGCATTTGAACCTTTAGAGAGAATAACTCTGGAGATGGACTGCCTTTTCCATTTCAGATACGCAAAAAATGTAACCCTCCTTTTGGCTATGAGTATTCTGACCTGATGCTAGCCGATTTTGCTTTCAAGTCATTCCATCTTTGGTTCATGTCGTCCAGTCGATGTTGAAGCATAGTAGCCTCTTCCGAATTCCCCAGGGCTTTTACCATCTTCTGTCTGTTTCCATCAATGCTTTTAAATATGTCATTATGGGCATCAATTTCTGCCTGGATGTCCTGAAGAGAAAACAGAGAGAGAATGTAAATGTTGGGATTAGGGTCAACACTAAATGGGCTTCTGTATAGAACTTGCTTTTTCTTTTATATTTGCAGATGGGCTTTCAAGCAAAATACTCCATGTTGCCTTATATGATACACAACAAATTCAAGTGTTTCCAATACTCTCACATGGAAAATTATAGCCCTAAATTCTTCAGTACATTGATTCATAGAACATGTTATCATCTAAATTTCATGCATCAGCTAATTACATGCTAGGAGTTTCAATTCAATGAGCAATATTTGAAATTTTGTATAAGTGTTATTTCCAAATTATTGAATTGTGCATAACATTCAAACAATATTTTCTTCTCTTGACACATGGGCATAACTTACCTTGACATATAAAGTTTTACGCAGCTCATTAAAATAATACATAGTTTTAAATGTTTTTTAAAAATATTTTGACATATTTGCTAATAGTTTGCCCTTACAATATTATAAAATTGATCTGAAATTTTGAAGAATGTACTTTCTCATTCACATATTACTCTATTCATGGCATTCTATTATAGAAACCCAAACTGACTAAAACAGCCTCCTTCTTCTTAAGTTTTTCCAACTCTTCATGAGCATGGTAAAATTTAAATATGCAGATTGTGTTTTACTGATTTAAAATTAATTTCTGATAAGTACCCATGGATTTTCTCAAGAACCAAGGTAGAGAGACCTCCTCCTAAGTGACTGTTCCTCCACCGCCCGCAGACATACAGGAGCAGGTGACATCTGTGGGAGGGCCGCATGTAACTACTGCTATACTCTAATACTCTGATTAGGAGGTTTAAAAAATGTCAAGGCTCCAAGATCCTGATGGGATCTGTGATTCTAACTTGACACTAACGGGATCAGATGTAGAGAGAATATGAGAAGAACCCAGAGCGTGATGAACGATTCCTACAATATTTACCTTCCAAATTGGGAAACCCACTGATCTCTAAGGTTATCTGATCCCCAAGACAAGGCCCAGTCAGGTTCAGGGCAAAAGGTGCTTTGTACATCCAGAAGGCCTACCCCTGGGTAAGAGCTGAGACTGCGGGATGTTCTGCATGTCACTAGCAGCTCTATCCTGGAGCAGTGCCGACAGATAGGGCAGCCCAGGAAGAGAATGGGATACAGATTGAGCATTCTCAGGCTTAGCCATACTCTGCATTTTGGTTTGGGGATGCTTTAAACAAATTCTCAGTAGTGGAGGAAAAATTATTGAAATGTTTCTTGATATAAAAGAACAAAATAGTTCCTAAAATGTAATTATCCTGTTTTTATGAACTTAAAACATCTCAAGATATACATACCAAAGGCTCCGAAGGCAATTTTGCTATGCTATGTAACTATACAGTCACCATCTTCTCAAGAAGCTTCATGAAGCCAGGCACTAATAGCTTACATCTGTAACCCTACCTACTCAGGAAGCTGAGATCTAGGAATCTCAGTTCAAAGCCAGACTGGGCAGAAAAATCTGTAAGACTATTATCTCCATATAACCAGCAAAAAGCTAGAAGGGGAGGCTTGGCTGAATTGATAAGAGCACTGGATCTAAGTAAAAAAGCCAAGAAGATCACAAAGCCTAGAGTTGAAGGAAGCGCAGTGACCCATGGGAAAGATGTCACTTCACTTTCTGTTACAGAGGGAACCAGGCCTCAAACTTCCTGTCATTCCTACACATCATGACCAATGGACCACACCTACAATCACAAGGCAAGCCGAGACCTCAACATCCTGACGTAACATTAGCTATTTGCTTACTTTCACAGCCAAGGGAAGCACAATGAGTTTTATTCATAAAATTAGGCATTAGGAAGTTTGGATGCCAAAAACATGAAGGACATGTGCTTCCTAAAACCAAGGCAAGTGCTGCATTTTCCAATTCAGCAAAGATGATGAGTGGACCAATCTAACCAATCTAGCCAATGACAATACATAGTCCTCTACAGCTCACCATAAGGAACACCAGAAGTGCTTATATAATGTTCATGATGAAATATGATTTTTAATCTTTGGGAAACCCTTGCACATATTAGTCAGAACAGAGTCAGGAAGAATATCAACAACCAGGAAGTTATCAAAGAAATGGAAAACAACATACATTATTTTATTTAACATTTGTTGGGGTTTTTTTTTGGCCAAATATGCTCCAGACTTCCTAAAAACAAAATCATCTGATTATTTCTTCTATGTCCTTATAGTTTTTGTTAGATAGAATGAATCAAATGTAAAAGATAATAGACAAGACATACATAGATTAGTGCAAAAACAAATGCAGGAACAAAATTTTATCTTGATTGACTGGCAAATTAGCCACTTAGGTGCCAGAAGAAAATAGACAACAAATTGGATGGAAAGGCAATCATTATTCTGTTCAATTTCTTCACTTAAAAAAAACCTAATATGAAGAGGGCAAAATCATTTAGAAGCCGGTACTGCTATGTCCTGTCTACATTTTTATTAGAAATTTAGGCTTAATGAGTGAATCACACTTCTTGGTAGATCACTGGGCAATAAAGCGCTGCTTTTAAAGTCAAGATGCCAGCAAGGAGGGTGTGAGATCATGACCTTCTGCGTGAAATGCAAAAATAAATTAAAAGTTCCTAAAAGAAGGTTTACTCTTGCTAAATAGCTGGGAGATGTGGCCTTACTGCTGCTTACCTTTGCCACCTGCGAGACCTTCTGCAGGTTTAAAAAAAAAAACAGCATCAAATGGTTACAATGGTTACTGATAATTAGTATGGGAATGTAATCCAGTTAGAAGCACAAAGCAATGCTCTTCCAAGCATTTAACACAAGGCAGTCATGTGCACTGAGGGGCCAGAACAAGGTACTCAAGGAGATGAACTAATATCTGAAAACAGGCAAGGAAAATGTCTTGAGGATTCACTTCAAACAGATCTTCATGTAATGCTAACATAACATAGAAGGTTAAGAACTGCCAAGGGTTAGGGGAAAAGGCTTCCTATTTTCCTCTCACTGAAATACCATCAATAGCCTAAGACACAAAGTTTCAGAAGAGCCCTCAAGAATATGACTACGAAAGCTAACTGAGTCTTCTATAAGGAATACCCACTACCCAAACTGAAAACAAAATTCACAAATAAACCAGAAGCTTTTGTTCACTTACTTCCTATATACTTACTTAATCATGAATATTTTAATATCAATGTTGCCCTTAACTGAACACTTCTTCCATGATATAACTAAGAAAGAGAGAGGTCACTGCAGATACTACACAATGGAAATCATAGACGTTTTTATTTGTTTATAATATTCTCTAATCACATAGTAACTTTAACTGCAGGTAAAAATGCTTCTTCGGATGATAATTAATAGAACCATTTGAGCCCTCTAGCAGGAAATGGAGATTTGTAAGAGTACCACTAGGAACCTTTCAACAACTAAACTGTGTCAGGCTAGATTCATCCTTTCCCCGGGGCCCGCTGACACGCTTTGGGTTTATTTTTGCAGGGTGTATTTACCTAATACGACATGGCTTCGGCAATGTTTCCTCAGAAGGAGCTCTGACCTCACTCCTGAAGGTTAGTAAAACCTCCCTACTGAGGCCGAGAGCTCTGGCTAACTAAACAAAGTTAACCATTAGAGGAAATAAATAAATCCATTATGTTCTTCAAAAGTAAGACAGGATCTCAGAAAAAAAAAAAAAAGTCACTTTAGGATTATCAGACACTCAGCAGAATTATGGCCAGAGGTTTAAGGTTTTATTGTTTAATTTAAAAGAGTCTCATAATAACAATCATCACAGGTTGTTATGTCATATGTTAATATTTGTGAGATTTCTGAGGTAATGAATTACAATTAATTAATCAATTATTTCAATTGCTTATTGATTCAATTTCTCAATTAACTATTCTATGGAGCTGCAATAACTAACCTCACCAATTTCTATCACCATACTGAATCATTTTGACCAGCATTAGAATCACATTTTCACAAGCAGGTGACAGTAGCCTTTAAAAGTTAAGAAATCAATGAAACAATGCTCTTTAATCATTATCATGACTATTAATTCATGTAACCCAATAGAGAAGAGAATGTCTAGGTACTAAATAGACAAACTCACAATTTACTGCATTTTCAAGACAATTTGAACAAGACAATCTGCCATGATCAAGAGTCAATAAACAAACTACATATTCATTGTCAACATAGTAAAAACTACCATTAAGCAAAATCATTCACAAACAAAATATGTTCCAGCCCCTTAACTCCATACCAACTGTTTCTAAAGGACAATAAATCACAGTGAAGAAAACTGTGGCAGCTTCCCTGGGAAGGTATACTCCACATGAGCAGAGTTAGCCCGCACATGAACACCAGTTTCCGGGGAGCCGTTATTGTTTCATGTGGCCAAACTATTGTCTCACCTTAACTCCACAATGAGATTGCACAATCAAACCCGAACAGTTGTGACAACCTAGTCCTGAACTATTACATTTCAAACGCTGAACACTGGAACACACAATGCCTCCAGTTCTGGCCTGTGTAGAAACAGTGCTTCTGCCTGCCAACTTCCCAATGTGTCCCCTTAGGTCTGCCCAGGTGACACACATGGATGGGTAACAACACACATACTTGTTTTTTTCCTGAATCTTAAACTCAGTGTTTAAATCCCAGCTGATTTTCATTTCTCTGGGAGACACTTCACAAACATGCAGGTTCACTAGGACTATCATCCCTCTCATAGCTTCCTCTCCATATCTCATCATTTAAAACGTCCTTGATTAAGACTATAAACTGGATGAGGGATGTTCTTCCAGTGGTCCATCCCAGCCCTATGTTCAGAGGAGTACCTGGAACTTCAGAAACATTTACTAAAAGCTAAATAATAAATCCGCCTTGCAGTGTGCATTTTACTCTGTCTCCATCAGACACCTCCATTTTAGAATTATGTATTCCTTCTGGCTACTTGGAAGACAGAGATAGGAGGGGATCGCAGTTCAAGGCCAGTT